CTCGTCCCAAGTATTGCCTCACAGTTCTCCAAATCACCATACAAGTATTTCACATAGTCATTTAACACATCAGATTACATAACCAAGGTTTTATATTATTTCTTGAAACGATTACATAGATGTTCAAGTTCACCCTACACAATGCCTCTTATATTAGGCTACACCACATGATACTATCTATATGGATACTTTATAGATCCTTACTCCTAACCCCTTGCATTGTCACCTGCTTCATGAAGGATCATCTGAAATGCTCTTGCATTTGGCTTTGGTGGTATGTTTGGCTTTATAGCTTGTTCCCTATTTGGGAAGTCTTTCTTGAAGTTTCCTTCTTCACCACACTTAAAACAAACTTCTCTCTTCGTCGTGCATTCGTCGGCATAGTGACCAGTCTTCCCGCATTTGAAGCAGGTCGCCTCTTTAGAGCATCTTCCAATGTGTTTCCTTCTACACTTGTCACACCACCTTTCTAAATTGCTATCCCCATGCCTCTTATTGTTGGTATCGGACTTCAGGAACCTATTTTTCTTTTCGGATCTTAAAGAATCCTCAAATTTCATCTTCTCACCAACTTCAACCTTGTTGGCAGTTCTGCCTTTGATCATTTCTTTGATAGACTTAGCAACCCAGATGGCTGCCTCAAGAGTAGGTGACTGGCGTACTGGCACAATGTACTCTCTTGGTTGTCCCTTTGTATACTTACAAATTTTTGTTGGCTCATCAGGGACGATGCTCAATGCAAAATCCATATTTTCTGTGAAGGCATTGGTATACTCATCAATGGACATGTTGCCCTTTTTCAACGTCAAAAACTGATTCTCCTGCGCTAGCATCTTTTGGGATTAGCATAACTTGCGTTTAAAGTGTACCAAGAATTCTGCCCATGTCAGTTGTAGTGGCTCATTGAGGCTTATGATCCTTCCCAAAGTGTTCCACCAACAAACAATGCCACCCCCTAAACTAACGCACAACATAAGTGGTTTGCAGGTTGCCCTTGCAACCACATGTTATGAAAGCTAGGTCTAACTCAGATATCCAATCCATAACTCCGATTCGATCTTCCTTCCCAGTAAAAGTTGATGGTTTATAGGTTGTAAAGTCTTTATACTTGCATCCATTCCTTTCAATTTCTTCATCCTGGTTATTTCTCCTATCCACTTGTGGTTCGTCTTGCCTAATGATCCTACTATAGTTTCCTTCTTCAGACTGTCCCTCATTCAGCTCAGGTCGCACAATGGGTACAATAGGTTCATCCCTATTCAGTAACATCTGTCTCATCTCCTCTCTTTGTTCGACCATCATAGTTTGTATCATTTCTTGGACTCCTGCCATCATGATATTCTCTAATGTTTCTAATGTACTATTGACAAATTATAATACAAAATACACCTCTGGTTACCAATTACCGAATATAAACCCTAAATAAGGTTAGTCACATAACAATTCGGTAATTCAATTATATATTATTTGGGTATAAATAATATTCGTAAAACAAGGTAGTGGAACCTTACACCACATGGCAAATTCATATCGAAGGTTACGTATAGTATACAAATTTTTGGTGAATTCCTAACAAAATGCGACAAATTCTATACCCGGCTAAACACTCATATTTTTAACGGAAAGAATCTAGGAATCAACCTAATTTTCATGTAACGTATTATTATTTTTGATAATAATGATTTTATTAACAATTTGAATTTTTATAATTCAAATTAACTATTTATACACCGTTTATACCATATTTCCCTTATAAAAATACCACACTTTTTATAAAAAATGACAACATTTTATAAAAATTAAAGGAGTTGACTTTTGTGCATATAAAGCCCAACTATAGTCATGTCTTGCTCCAACTTCCCACAAACATATTACCCAACATATAACCAAGTAATTAACCAACAAATAACCATGTATGTCACATCACTCCACGCCTACCCACCTCACCACCCTCCCTCCCCCTCCCCCATAAATTACGTCCACCTCCCCCCCTCCCCTCTTCATCTTCATCTCTTTCTTCATCCCCTTCATTTCTCCTTCAAGAACAAGCTCCAATCTTTCAAGGATAATACTTTATAAGTTGGTTCATAGATTTTTGGTAAGCATTTCCTTATTAATCTAGTGATTTTACACACATTCATACTAGTTTTGTTACTTTTACACACATTAACATGTGTTCAAATCCATAGGATAATACTATCTTCAAGTGTTCTTCAACCATCTTCAAGTGTTCTAAGCTTGAACATCTTCATCTTCATCTCTTTATCCACTAAGAAATCCACTCAAGGTGAGTTCATACCCCTCATTTTCGTTTTTCTCCAAGTTTTAGGGGGGGGGGGGATACATGGAAACTTGTATAATAACACTAGTTGTTATACATGCTTAGTCTTCAAGTTGTGTAAAAGTATTATTTACATGAAATAATGTTATTACCTAGTAGTATGAACATTTATGTGTGGTATGTTGTTTAAAATGCAAAAATATATGAATAATGAGTATAAACATGCTATATGTTCTTGAGAAAAGGTCACAAAAACAAAACTATAAAAACTATGGTTTTTATGAACATAATATGACTTTTCTTGCAAAAAATGGTTTTAACCAAGCTATTACATTATTTTTGTGTGAAATAAACCAAAATATGTTATTTGGGACATATGTCTTGAAACTAGTCAAAAATATCAAAGATTTAGTTTTACAAAAAGAAAACTCAAAAATCTATCATTTTATGTAAAAATGGGTTTTTCTAGCAAAAATGGTTCTAACTAGTTTATGGCACCATTTTTGTGGGTTTTGACTAAAAATATATGGTTTTAAACATATATACAGTTAAATTGAGTTAAATACCCCAAAAAGGTAAATTAAGTTTTACAAAGTTATATTTACTAGTTACCGGTAAATGTCGTTAAAAAGGGGCAAAAAACTAGAAGTTGGCTTTATCGTACTAAATGTTCTTATACTTGTGTTAGATGTGAATTTATATGATTTAATCTTTTAAAACATCTAGACATGTTAATTTATATGTATTTATATATATGATTATATAAATGAACTTCGCAAAACATTTATAATAAACTATAATTGGTATAGTTTGTGGGTCATAAATACTACTTCATCATTTTTAGATGAAACATATAATCATTTAAAGGTATAATTATTTTTACACTACGTAACCACGATGGAAGGGTAATACTATCACTTACAAAAAAGGGTTTTCATTACACTAGACGTAAATCTGTTAATACAATTTTGTGAGTGATAGTCTTCACGTACCTACCAGAGTATCTACAAAAGTCCATCATTATAACCAGAATCTCCTGTAGAGAGAGCGTGATACTTGTGTATAGATCTATACGGGACTGACAACCCCGCACCTAAGTTGTTAACTACAGCTAGACCGGCAGGTTTAGGATGAGAATTGTCTAACATTCCGACGCCTGAAGAACGTCGTAGCAGGCCAACTAGTCATTAACACGATTATAATAACTCACATGGGGTATTAACAATACATTTGGTTTATGGGGCTAACATACATTCAAATGGTTTTATATAATGATAAAACTACATGATACTATTTTCCAATACAGGACTACTTACATTTTGGTCTTAGGGTTTAAGACTTACTGCTCATTTTTAAAGAAATTTTTGGATTTTCTAAAAGCGCACTCTATCATTTTACAAAGAAAAGTTACCGACTTTTCTCATACAAAACTGTTATGAACTCACCAACTTAAATATTGGCACTTTTTCAAAACTACTTGTATTATCAGGAAATCGTTAAAAAGGTACCCACAAGATTTTGAGGATGGGACGCTACAATGTCACACTATTTACTTATGTCATAATGTAATTGGTATTGAAACAAACAATATTTGGATACAATGTAATTTTCCCAATTATAATTATGATGGTTGTGTTTCTTTGATCACTATTATTCAATTCGTTGTGATACTGTTCATGAAGTCATCCACCCTCAGACGTTTCCGCCATTCTGGTTTGGTGGTGTGACACACTCATCTCACAATCATCGCTTAGCATTCTAAGTTTAAGTCTAAAAATTTCCTACAAATTCCTAGTTTGCTTAAACTAATCTGATACCAACTGTGACATCCCCAAATTCTCGGTCATTTCAAAAATTTTATTTGTGCTTATTTAAAAATCAGAGTATCCATTTTAAAGAATGATATTGCAAAATTTGTTCCCAGAAAACATGATAAAAATATTATCAACGCATTTCCGAAAAAATGTATTTTGTTTATATGAAAACTTTGGGATGTCATCGTCGATACAGAAACATAAGCATAAACAGACCTTAGGTTTATTTACACTAATGAGGTTTAGCTAGGAACCGGGCTCTACGGGGGCAGAACTTCTGAGCCGGAAGCTCTTCTTCTCGGAGTCTTCTGGCACTACGGAACTCGCCTCAGATTTGGACGTTTTTTGTATCTACGTTATTGGTTTAACGTATACTACAACTTTTGTTTAGATCACTAAGACTAAAAAGTATTTTATTTCACAAACTTACTTTTTACGTCACACAGCGTCGTGCCAGTTTTTTCGCAAAATTTCGTCGGCTCATAACTTCTTCGTTATAAGTCGGATTTCAATGTTCTTTATATGTACAGAATCCTTGTTACATATACTATAACTTGGTTAAGATTATTTATTCTAAATAACCTTCTATGAAAAAGTCATTTTTAACGCTTCTTGTCTCTAATTTGCCTAGCCCGAATCTGCGGGCGTTACATAATATGGCAATGGTTATAGGTTGGAAGATATTGATTAATAGATTCTATAAAAATCTATCAAAATGGAAAATTAAAATGCATTTCGTTGGTGGTTGTTAGTCATACGAAGAGTCTATAGTTTTTTTGTTTTTACCCCTATATACCCCTATATTTACTTAATTCGTGTGGATTGTATTTGTAAATATTTCATGTATTTAAAGCTAGCCTCTCTGCCTATTTTTAGCATCAAGAGTTATTCTCTCATGGTATCATATGCCTGAAATGATCCTTTCCCTTACAATCGCTATTTTCTCTTCTCCCTTACCCTCTTGCCTTCTCTTTCTGTCTCACGCCTACAACCTCGTGGCCTCCTCTTCCAATACTTCTGAGTCTGTTCTTTCATTAAATACTGTCAAGCATCTAATCACCATCCAACTCTCCTTGTCCAACTACATGATGTGTAAGAACCAACTCCTACCACTTCTGACATACCAAAATATGGTGGGCCGCAACGATGGCTCCTTTTTCCTTCCTGCTGCTATAATCACCAAAGACGGAATACTTAAACCAAATCTGTCCTTTGAAACTTGGCATGTCGCTAATAAACGCGTTGTGATTCTTCTCCAAGCCTCTCTCATGGAGGAAGATTTTTCTAAAATTGTTGGCCTTGGTACAGTGTGCCAGATCTGGGTTTCCCTAGAAACCGCCTACAGCAAGTCCTCAGTGGAACGAATCTAGAATCTACGTGATCAGCTTAAACTTTTCTCTAAAGGTTCGACCCTCGTATCTGATTTTGGTCGGAAATTTAAGTCAATCTTTGATCAGTTAACTGCCATTGGTCAACCAGTTGATGAACCTGACAAAAATCACTTGTTTCTTTATGCTCTTGGTGAAACATTTGAGACTTTCTCCAACGCCATTCGTGCCTCCCGCTACCCTTTCAATTTCCAAGTCGAAGGACATGAACTCTTTTTAAAATCACTCCATGGATCTTCGCCACCCCCTGCAACGTTCTCCGTTGTGACTGATAGAAAATCCATGACTCCCAATCATGGCCATGATGGTCGGTCATCTCGTGGCGGATGTAGTAGAGGCTGTCATCCCCCTCGCTACCAACGTTTTTATACAAATGGGTATTACACAAATGCTTGCCCCAACCTTGCCTCCTTTGCCAATAACGCTCCTGGTATGGACTCTAATATTTAAAGTTAGTCTCTCTGCCTCATTTTGGCATCAAGAGTTATTCTCTCGGTGGTTCTTATATGTTGCTAAGCTCGGTGCTAGGAACTCTTAGGATATATAGTATGACAAATGTTTTTTCAAAGTCGATGATTGTAAAGAGTTTTTTTTGGAGATGTTGAGATTAAAGTTTTTTTAGGAGTATGTGTTAGTAGGATTTGGTCGTTAATTCAAGAGATGAGATATTGGTATTGGTTATTTGGAGGCGTTTAATGATGAACTCCTTCATAAGGGATAAGGGAAATTGTAAATGAAAATAATGATATTTAGGTTAGAGTTATTAAATTGTATCATGGATTTCACAAAGGAGTCTAGGATCGGTTTGGTCTAATTCATGGTTATGGAGTTTAATTAAGGATTATTTCTTCCCTTGACAAGATGCATGAAAAGTAAAAGGTATTATTGATGTGTAAAAGATAGTCTATAAACTTTAGATAACTTGAAAATCATTTCATTGGACAACGTCCCCAAAAAATTGATGAACTAAAATATATTGGCTTGAAAAATAAAAATATAGTTTTACATTTATAACTCCTAACAATCCAAAATGACTATCTACACTAGGTAGTCGGCCTAATAAATGGCAACCTAGGTTAGGTAAGTATGGGTATCGAACACATGGTGAACAGAAGTGTACTAACATATCAATATCTTCTTCTTAATCAATCTCAAAATAAAGCAATTGAAGGGGAATATCTATCACTAAAATTAACAAGCAAACAAATAAGCAAATAAATAAATAATTAAATAAAAACATGGCTAACCGTATAGATAACATAATCTGAAAGTATTCAAATTTGTATTTAATCCATCCTAGTTCAATTAGTTAACATCCTTTAAATGATATTGGTAAGTTATCCACCGATTCCTAAATTGATTGCCTCCATGCTAATTCCATTAATCCTATGATTTTAAGTTGTCTACCAGTAAGGATAGCTTCCGTAGACTCAATCTATTAGGTCTTATTATGAAATACTCAATAGCTATGATCGGTCTCACAGATAGTGGTGACTTCTTAAATTGTCCAAGTGATTGGATCTATCAAAAATATCAACTTAGCTTTATTATGTTTAACCTAGGGACAATTTTCAACTAGTCACCACTAACTACGCTCTTGATGCAGTTTTCCAGCTTGGACAAGTTAATAAACAATATGATTCAAGATATATAATCGGAACCTAATCATAATTCATGCACTCAGTTACATGAAAATAACAAAATGAATATCAATATGCATGGATCTTTAATTGAGAAAACATAATAAATTGAATAAATCTCAATACTAAGTATCAATCAATCATTGAAACTAGGGTTTCACAAATATCAAATAATCATAAAGGCCATAATCCCAAATCTTGAAAAGAACATATAAGAGATAGAAACAAAAGTTGACCAATTATAGACAAAAAATAAACAGACTGATAACTTAACAATTTCTTTTCTTGGTCTTCAAATTTTTACATCTATATCATCTAGTCAGGTAACGGCCTCTTTTGATACTTTCTACCCCTCTAGAGTTTCTGGAAATTTCCCTACTGGTGTATCTCTTTGTTGGACGAATTTGAGATTCTATTTATCATTTTCTATAACCGACTTATTCCATGGCGATATTTAGAAATCTCGACGAGATTTAATAAATCTAAAAATATCTTCAGGATATTTAGAATCGGTATAATCTTCTCCATTCTTAAATCCATCGTTATTGGTATGAATTCAAGACCGATTTCGAACAAGATAAATGATGAACTAGCAAAAAGGCCCTCACACATTAGTCGTAGAAATTTTATCTATTTTGCGTAACATATTTAATCTCGTTAATTAGAGTTACGAGTCGCAAGATATGACTCAAACAATGTATAGAGGTCCATCAACCAATTTATAATTTAGCAAGCCTTTTCCTAGTTTGCTCCAAATCATCAATTTAGATCCATTTATGGACTTTTTACCTACAAAAGATAAATATAAATGAATTAAGCATCATTTGTCCATATTTGTGTCTTAATCCTAATAACTTTCCCAGTTTTAAATACTCATAATCTTCATAAATTCTCCCACTTAGTATGAACAATAAACACTTTTGCATCCCTTCAAATATAGCCATATTAACAACTACCTAATATCAATGTATTTTTTATCAAGCTCACATACTTTAGATACATACCTAGAATGATGTTTCTATATAATATACCACTTCCACATTTCTTTAGTAATTAACTTTCTCCTTGATATAACTTTATTCTATATTATGACATTCCTAATTTTCCAGTCAATTAAAAACTTTTTCTTTATGCTTATTTAAAACAAAGTATTTTTTTTATTAGTGCAAAATTTGTCCCATAAAATTATTAATGTGAGATAATATCAATATCAAAGAATTTCCAAAGAAACATTTTTCGTTAATATTTAAAATTTTGGGATGTCATGATATAGAAACATAAGCATAAACTAGTCTTTACAGGCCTTACAACAATTTATTTAATGGCCTAAAAACTCCTTAGATCTCTTAGTAGATTCAAATGTCACTATCCTTGTTCCTTTCTACCGCTACATATATTACAAAGAAACTGAGTGGGTCGGGCTTGGGAGCCAGGTGAGCACATAAGGTTTTCAAACCACAATAATATAATTGAAATATTATATACATATATATATATATATATATATATATATATATATATACACTCACACACACACACACACACACACACACACATATATATATATATATATATATATATATATATATATATACACACACACAAACCAAACAAATAACCTGATTACCCATTCCAATTATCCTCACTCTTTGATCGTAAAAAATGATGATCTTAAGGGACCTATCTTATAGGACCACTGTAAAAAAGAGTAGACAATATTGTCTCGGGTATTCCTTAGCAATATGTGTCAATAAGGTAACCATGAGGGGGATAGAGTACCCAAATAAACATCCTTCCCTTTTCCCTGAAAATCACGATCATTAACACCTACAGGTGACGAGCCTGCTAGTGTTCCATAAGACTGTCTAAATGGTCTATGGTCGTCATCTATACTCTGTTTGATGACTAATCCCTAGTAGTACAATATTACAATGTATGGCCTCTCACCATTATTTTATTTTTCATAACCCTTCCATACCCAATACAATTTTAAATATCATAAAATAAATATACAAGTAAAATCATATCATATTATTACATCTACCACCGATATCAAGAACATAGATAATAAGCACATATAACATTTAATTATCTAAATATTTTGTATATATGTGTAATATGAAAGTTACTATGCACTCACAGGTTAAAAGTAGATGACTTGTGATTAGGTCAGCGTTTCGCCTAGCACCTTAGCTTTTCCTTTCAAAAGACATAGATATGAATATCACTAAGTCTTAGTCTTATATTTCTCGTGACTATAATAACAATAGTCTAGAATCTTCAATAATCCTAACGAATATTGATCTATAGAAGATAAGGAATAACGATGTAAGATCATTTCAGAGGTAGGATACGTTTGGTATACAGAGTATGCTGTTTGGAAATCCCATTTTAAACACCTAACTAAATCTAGCCTTGACATCACCCTCGTAAGTAAATCAATCAGTATTATGACTGGAATCACATATATATCCTATTTATAGGTTCATAATAACGATTATGAATATAAATACAAGTTACACTTAAAGCATAAAAGTGCAGCTAAATTTATAGAGTTTTCTAGAAATAGTCTGGAAAATTTACAGGTAGAACTCCGACCCGAAAGCTTCTATTTGTCATGCTCTCTGATGCATAGCTATCGACGAGTACTACAACTTTCATTTATACCTTGTCAGCTAATTATCAACCTATCATAACTTTAGTAGTCTATGAAGATTACACTGAAAAAGACCATGGAAAATTCATAACTCCTTCATACAGAATATGTTCTCAATGTTCTTTATATCGACAGATTTGTATTGACGAGTACTTCGATTCTCGTTTAGATTGTGTAAGTCCCACAAAACAGGAACCAACCAGTGATCAAATGCAAGCACAAGCAGTAACAATGAAATCATAAGAAGTAGAAGCAAGAATTAATCAGAAATGCACACGTTTATATCTGGCCGTAAACATGGGGTACACCTGATACACACACATACACTGTAGCACTACGTCCCTGACATGACTGACAACTATTTATAGGACACGACCAACTGCAAACGGGTTCACGGCGGTGAAGATGTTCACGGCCATGAACACCTTACAACCGTGAACAACCAGCCGCAAACACCTAAACATATGACCAAACCCTAATCAAGACTTATACAAGATAAATGTCTAGCCCAAACCATCTAAATGTGAATCATTGACCATGTTCTTCTCAGTTGATCGTGAATCATTGTTGGACCGTGATCCATTGCTTGACCGTGAATCATCGTTGATCATGAACTGTTAGTTGACTGTGAACCGTAAACCGTGAATTGTGAACCGTGAACTGACCGTGAACTGTGTACGGTCGTGAACCCTATATGGCCGTAAACTCCCTTAGTTAAAGAACACTTTCTGTTTTGTACTTTCATTGCAAATTTTATTTGTTCAATCAATCAAGAAAAAAAATGCAAAATCCCCAATATTTTGCCAAGATCTATCCAAAAATGCAAAATCCTTCAAGAAAAATATCAGAAACGCTCCAGATCTGGCCAAAATGATTGATACAATCCAAGCTCTGATACCAACGGTAAGTCCCAAATTTGCTTGATGTATCAATCAGATCCAATTGATGGTACAGAATCCCAATCAATTGGATGATGCAAGATCTAAATGGAGAAGAAGGAGAAGAAGAATAAGATGAATCTTGTATGATTTGATGATTAGAATGAAGTTCCTTACAAGATTCACACACACACTTGCACCTTCTTTACTTTCTCTCTCTAGAACACCTTAGAGTACACACACTTAATCTCCTTTCTCGACCTTAACCGTGTACAC